GAGAGAGGGGGAGACACTACATCATTCTGGACAAATAACTGTCCAGTCTCTACTTGAAAACCTCCATTGTTGGAGCAACCACAAGTGAGGAAACACTAGTTAGAACATAGAATCATAGGGTTGGAAGGGACCTTGAAGGTCTTCTAGTCCAACCCTCTGCTCAAGCAGGAGACACTACATCATTCTGGACAAATAACTGTCCAGTCTCTACTTGAAAACCTCCATTATTGGAGCAACCACAAGTGAGGAAACACTAGTTAGAACATAGAATCATAGGGTTGGAAGGGACCTTGAAGGTCTTCTAGTCCAACCCTCTGCTCAAGCAGGAGACACTACATCATTCTGGACAAATAACTGTCCAGTCTCTTCATGAAAACCTCAATTGATAGAGAAGACACAAGTGAAGGAATGCTGTTTAGAAGATAGAATAATACGGTTGGAAGGGACCTTGGAGGTCTTCTAGTCCAACCCCCTGCTCAAGCAGGAGACCCCACACCATCCCCTTTTGTCTATGGGTGTGAAACAATAAGGAACTCATCTCGGAGAATATCATGTATCATTCTTGGGACCTGACAGCTATAGAATAAGAAAAAAGATTAAGGGCATACCGAAATACTAACCAAAACTTAATGAAGCTTAGTCTGTTTTCTTTTAGATCTTTAGCATAGTTGGGAAACAAGCTGCATGAACACAACTGGATTGCAGTTGAAACATTAAGCTATGAATCAGAAAATGCCCAGAGCATCATGACTCAATGCTGAAGAAAAATTCAAAGGAATAAAGAAAAAAATGATGTTCAGCACCATGGACAGCAATATTAAAAATACACTGTGTGTTCTTTTGATTGACAGGAGGGGAACTTACACCATCTCAGAGAAATGATTGTCCAGTCTTGACAGCCTCCATTGATGGAGCACCCACAACTCTGGGAGGGAAGCACTTCCATTGATTGATCATTCTCCCTTTCAGGAAATCCCTCCTTATTTCTAGATTGGATCTTCTTCTGATGTGCCAATCCAGGAAACCAACCCAATTCAGATGCTCCGAGGATGTCTGGAATCAGCAGGGGAATGGCATGCCGGATTAAAAATGGATGAACCTCAGCTGACCTCTCTGAGTCAACAACTATTCAGATGCAGAAATGTGTTCGAAAACAGATGCATTTCCCCTTCCTCCAGGAACGCTCTGGAATTCCACAGCTGGGTTGCGCCCAACCAATTAAAGTAGGCTGAAGGAGGTTGGGCAATGATGATTCCACTTGTGGTAAGATAGCATACGGCTGTGTGTGAGATCACCATGCCTGAAAGAACAAGAATCTGGTCTGAGGCTTGATCAGCGCATAGATGATCACTGTTGGTGTCAGCCTCTGTTTTGCTGCTTGCTTTTCAGCTGCCATTGAAACGGGGAGGGAGGGCATGGTATTTNGAAACCTGGGGCTCAACTGTGGTCGTAAGTCGAGGAGTGCTCGTATCTAGTTAAGGATGGAGGCACCAAAGTCTAGAATTCAAAAGCAGTACAAGGATTTCTACTTCACTTTAAGAGACATACTGCTCTATTCTACTTTGAAGGGACGAATTATTAAGAAACAATCATGCATTATTAAACTAAGTGAAGAATCTGCTTCCCTTTCTGTTAAGCTGGCTAATATTTTGATAGGAGACACATTAGGAAATTACAAGCCAGACTGGGAAATCAAGAAAGGTTCGCTGAAGAAGACAAGGAACTCCAACATTGTACTAAGAAACACTCATTTTTACAGCCAACCACCAAAGGAGTCTTGTGAACGGGTCCTCAGGCTGGACAAGCCACGAGGGAAAGGAACCATGCCAAGTTAGAAAAGTTTAATTAATTAAAGTTTCTCATTTAATTTGGTCTCCTGGTCCACCAGAAAGAATCACTCTGGAGCCGTGCAAAACCATTCTCTCTAATTTATGTATGCATATCTTAGATTGGTGATTGTATTAAAATTTGCAGCGTTGCTTTGTATACTTAGAATTGAGGAATCAGCTCTATTTGGGGGTGGGGGCATGGAGATTTCCTAGCGAGCCAAAGAAGGTTTAAAACTGCAGTAACTTACAGAGGAATATATTTATCGTGCAAGGAAGTTTAGCGAGTTCCCCACCCCAGAACCAAGAGCTTCCTCTTAGAAGCATGTGCCTTTGTGTGTGTTTATTTTGCAAATTGTGTTATTTCTGCAAGCAGGTCATTTACATTTTATATGTTGAGCCCATGGGGGGGGGGAGAGAGAGAAAGACAGAGAGAGACAGAGACAGAGAAAGAGACTCCTGGTCATGAAAAAAACCCCTCTTTATTAAATTAAAACTCCTCTTGTGAATTAATTTCTCTTTACTGTTCCCATTCAGTGGTGGGATTCAGCCGGTTCGCACCTATTCGGGAGAACCGTTTGTTCACTTTTTGAGCAGTTCGGAGAACTGGCTGTTGGAAGAAATCTCCTTCCACTGTACAGGAGGGGATTCAGACAGAAAGGTTTAGGGTTCCATGATGGTTGTGAAGCTATTCTTCATCAAAAACCAACGATCAAGTATGTTTCGGTGGCTAACAAATTTCAAACCAATCCATG